TGCAAACTGAACGTACTGCATCTAAAGGTGATTAAAAAAACATTTTCTCTACAGGCTTCATCTGTACACTATTGATCTTGTTGGCACCTAGAGCAGTCTTAAAATTATTTGTAGAGTTCCACTTTTCCAAGTGGAAACATTAAATTTTTAAAAATAGATACTTAATAGTTCACTAGCTGATATTACTGACAAGGCTTTTTAGTTTAAACAACCTTTCTGGTACAATTTCTGAACAACAATCCATCTTTGAACAACAATCCATTAAACTCTTTTGTAAATTATTTGCATTCTGATGCATTTTGAATAAAACTGACACAACTCATTTTAAAGTCTCTCCATTAGCCAGGATAGTACAATCTTAATTTCATTTCTTCACTACTGTTTCTCTTCTGGGAACAGGAACTATTCCCAGCATTAGTAAGAATCCCTCTTACAATCTAACACTTGGTACTAAAGTTTTTGCAACATGAAGTACATCTGTATAAGTAAGATATTTTCAAATTGATTTGAACTTAAGAGAATAGCTGGGTGTATCAACAAAAAAACCATCTCCCAAAAACAACCCCCAAATTACGCACTCCAAAGAATCCACTAGCTAAATCAACGTTAACTTTTCAGCATTCACCCTTCAGATACTAAGAGGAATTAAAAAACTGAACAATACAGAATTATTTTCTCATACTTTCTGTATACCCAGACAGTTCCTCAGTTTGTCAAGCTAAAATTTTCATTGTCTAGAAATATCAGAATTAGAAATTTTTGAAGGACCTAAAAGGAAAAAAAAGATGCTTTCAAGGACATATTACATATAACATGATATTTTCATGGTACTCAGTAAAGTCTGGATGTTTTACCAAAAATTATTTTCACAGAATCACGTAAGTATTAGTTTTAGAAAATTATCTAACCCTGAACTGTACTGGCAGTGATGCCTCTGAGATCACACATTCAGAGTCAAAAAGAATAACTGTGTGGATATTTGTAGTTTGAAATTATGTCCATATGAACCACTTGTCTCTCTTGTCACAGGACAAAAATAAACAGAGAGAGCTAAAGTAAAAAAATTGACACCAAAATTGCTACATGCGTTGTATCTGGTAGTTTGCTACTTTTTGAGAAAACAAGTTTGCCTAGACATGTTCAGATCACTGTTTTAAAGGTAAAAGCCTAAGAGATAAAAGGTATCAGTAATCAGCCAATCTAAAACCATGCTAAATCAAAAAGGAATGCTGATAAGCAAGATCCCAGACCCCATAAATATTAGCAATCATACCACACAGAAGTCACTTCAGTCAGTATGTAACTATTTATGAAAGAGCTGCCCTATCCAAAGGCACACAGTAATAAAGCATGGCTATTGTGAAAAAAAGCAAAGCCCAACAATGTCTTAATAAAGCATAAACCAACATTCCTCTTATTGCAGTGAAAGAACAAGAAGTTTGAAATTTTAGAAATGTTTATTTTACAGTGAGCACTGAAAGTGTTTAGCTGTTTCCAATTACAAGCTGACCAGCTACTCAGAGGAAATCCCTACCATTTATACACTTATGTTGCCAGACAAAATTTTCTATAAAATTAATTATGTGAAAAATTTTATTAGCTCCCTAACACCTTTCTGTGGTGGGCAGAAAAAATTAAACATACAGTAGGGTAATTGTGATATTAGGTGAAGCTTTTTCTGTTGACTTTATGAAAATCTGCATAAATTATAAACTATTGTAAGTTGCACTCTTCTCCATGACTTTGTCATTTACCATAACCTTAAGAGAATCTAGCAGCATCACATGTCTCCAACTCTGCATATACGCATGCCATGTCACATAAGAGACAAACCTCTCTACAGTGGCTCTTCCTCTATGAGAATACATTCCAGCCTATATAGGCATGCTTCAATGGCGAAAAACATTGATCCTGTCCTTAACCATCTGAAGCAGGATCACAAGTTTAATAGAAAAGTATAAAATCCCTCTATTTTTTGGGCTTTTTTACTTCAAATTATTCTTGTCAGTTTTACTGCCTTTGAGAAATAATTTATTAATCAATCCTAACTCACAGAAGATGTCTTAAACAACATCACCAAGTGGCAAAGACAAACTTCTGAACTGCAGAGGTCATTAGAAAAAAATCCATATATTTTTCTGTTCTAGATATATTTTTACAATACAGTTCCTGTAAAATGGAATTATCTGAATATATCCACAAGACCAGACTATTACGTAGCTTCCTCTAGTGGTCAGTCCCTAAATCTTGTTGCTTCTGCTATTTACTCTAGTTACTTGTTACACACAAATTCTGTGTTTAAATGCTGTAAATTTGAGAAGACATTAAGATTTATACTGCAATGTATTTCTAATACAAAAGCCAAGGAAGCTAAGCCAAAACATAAAGCAAAACATTTGTTAGTGACACTAAAACAGTGAACTAGCTGAATAGTGAAGTCAGCAAAAATCAGAGTTATTAGTTTTCCCATTTGCCCCTTGTGCATATACATTGTAATATATTTAGTTACATGGTCAAGCTTGACTTTCCCACCATGAGATTCAGGAAGAAAAGACAGATGTTCAGTTTTTAGCTGAGTCTTCAGATATTTGCTATGAATCATTCAAACTTTTGTTTTGACCCTGAAAATTATGTGTATGTGTGTGCACGTTTTAATAAGCCTTGCTACTGTGCAGTTGGTTTGTTTCTGCAAAATTCTGCTGAGGGAGGGGGCAAATTAAAAGACACAGCAAAGCATTCACCAAATGTGAAAGCCAAAGAAAACAGACAACAACTTGATGTAGCCCTAAAATACTGCAAGAAGAATCAAGGCAGCTCTCTGTCATATGGGATGAGAAATTAACAGGATGAAATTTTGCACTGAGCAACAGGAAGATTTCCTTGCAGGCTGAAGTCATTAAGGAGGAAGAGAGAAAACCCAAAGGTAGAAAGTGACAACTGCCTGTTAGAAAATATATTTTACTGAACAACTCCACTGTTGAAAAGAGTGTGATTACATAACAGCTGTCTCTGACTCTAAAATAAAGTAGTTAGAAATCCACTCAGGCAATTTAACTGAAAATAGTCCCAAGGGTTATATTATCTAAATTGTATAGAAGTAGAAAATCGTATCACCCACGTGCAGTTTGAAAATCTGTGAATGAGTAACTTTTATAATATGTATTTCTTCTGTGAAACAGCAGCAATAACTTTTATGTCTAGCTGAATGCATTCCATTGCCTGAGATTACTGCCTTCTTACTTTTGCCTTTGCACTTTTCTGCACTCTGGAACCAAAAGAAATGCCCCTCAACCTTTTTTTTTTTTTTCTTCCTTCTCTTCCATAAAGCCTGTCAACTTCCATTCAGCTTTGACAAGGACATTAGCTTCCCAAAACTGACACCTCCATTTATTAATTCATACATTGCCAGCAACAATGCACACTACCAGTGTAGCAACACCTGACAAAACATATAATGAAAGAGAAACTTTTAAAATTAAGTTGAAGGACAAATTAATTTTGAAACATTACTGCATATTCCCCTGGGAAGCCTACAGGTAGCTCAACAGGGCTAACCTCACAAGTTCCTTAAATGCTCATCCCTCCATCACAGAAATTCACATGGAGCTTCCACACACTTGGACAAAATTATCCAAACCCACAACATACAGAAAAAAGACAAGGGCATGACTGAAGCAGCTAAGTATTACATTTCCTTCCTTTCTCTCTTTCCAGGATACTAGTCTCCATGTTGCCAGCTAATGCAGCTTGCCCTAGCATTGCAGCTGTCATTTGCTCCCTCGTGCCACATTTAGGAACATGCTCACTGTGACTGTTTCAAAAAAGAGGTTCTCAAACCATTCTGTGAGATTCTGACTGTAAAGGTACCTCAGCAGTTAAAATACCTGATGCTACACATCCCTCTGTTGGTATCTGCCTAACCTCATTCATTTTTACAGCTGGAATCAGCTGGAATGTGTCTTCTCCTCAGGAGAGCAGGCAGCAAGGGATTTACAGCACAGTAACTAACCTTAGGTCTCAAGTTTGCTTATTCCCTGGCATACCATTACATCCTTGGGGAAAGATAACACAGCTGACAAAAAATATCACAGCCCCTCAAAATAAATAATATCTGTCCAAATTTGGAGAGTGCTGCCAACTCTGTTTATGTTCCTGGCTTTCTCTCAGAACAGCTCTAAAGCTGTGGACTTTGTTAGTAAAATAAGGAAGGAGAAAGACTTAGCTACGTCTCTTTTCAGAAAAAGTTTTGTGCCTGTTTCTTGTCACTTTGTAACAGCATTCTGGCATTACAGCAACCTGAATATGCAGTGGTGCTCGGGTAGCAATGTAAGAGCCTAATAAATAAAACATGAAAGCTGCAGTAGAGAAAATTCAATAAAATTTCATGCATGCTTTTCATTTTTCATGCTAAGGATCAGAATATTAAGTGCATTTCAGTGCCAAATTCTGTATTAAAGTCACTCATTATTCTCTGTATTCCATTAGAGTTAGAAACTCCAACCAAAATCTAGCATGTCAGAGACAGTACAGTCAGTCAAGAGTGTGATAACCTACTTTTGTATAAGTGACAATTAAGTGAGATGCTTATGTTTTAAATAGGCAAGACAAAGTAGAAAGATACCCCTCTTAACAGCATGGAACTGAAGGTAAGCAGGAGCTAGAGACTCTTTTTCCTACACACATTCGCAAGTACAGCACAAGTTACAGAACTCATATGGTTCTGGAAAGGATGATCCTGATGTTAATTCTAAAGAATCAGAGTATTTTTATTATAGGATTGTTTCTTAACTGCTCAGGTGGTGGCAGAGTAAGGATCAATAAACCTCCTCATACATAATAGAACAGAACATGAAAAAAATAGTCAGTGTACCTGTTTTGTACTGCTCAGCTTTAAAAAGAAAAGCAGCTATTCTTTGACTAACCTCTGAATACCAGCTTTTAAGCTAAAGAAGTGCAGACCTTTTCAGGCAAAAGATCACTTTAAACAATACACAACTTACGCATCTCTTCAACCACATCTGGATCACATTCCCTGTATTTGTCTATTTCTGTCTTTAGCTGGTCTTTTTTCTGCCGAAGGGCAGCAAGTTCTTTCAGCAGAGCTGCACGATCCACCTGAGGATTCAAAAGATGTTGGGAGATAAAAAAAAAAAAACCCAAACATTAAAAATAGTAATTGTCACACAAAGTTGTTTTTTTTTTTTTAATAAAAACATACAAATTTAAAAGCTGCTTTCACTACTACTTTCCATCTATGAATCACTTGAGCATTTTATTTTATTACATAGAATTCTCAGTGACACTAAATAATACTGAATACCAACTGGAAGGAAAAAAATTATGGCCAAAATGGATCAACAAAAGAACAATTTTCCACAACCTTTGAACCATGGTTTAACAAACTCCAAAGAGATCTCTTAATTATTTGGCTTAAAGGTTAAGCAGTATTTAAGAGTGCTAGTCTTGCAATTAAAGATGGCATTACAGAAAACCTACCACCCACTCTTCTACAAATTGAAATGCTGGGTATGAACACCCTCTGAATTTATTTGTATTCTTTCTTTTTCCACACAATTTAAGAGCAATGGTCTCAAAAGTAAATTCAGACATTTATGACATGGTAGTCTTTGTACACAACGTTGACCTCAAAGATTCTAACAATCAATAAGAATCTGCAGACACTGACTCAACATGAGATCTCCCACAGCCAGCTCAGCACATACTTCTAATTCAGTCTTTAGTTACAAACACTGGAACTGGCTAATATTCAAATAACTCAAGCTAGGGTAGCCTAGAAGAGCCAGACTGCATGAGTTGGTAAACCATTGAGATTTTACCAATGGCAATCTCCATGGTAACCCAGCAATGTGAGATGTTTGTGGATTTGGGGTTTTGTTTATGGTTATTGGGTTTCTCCCCTCACCTCAAGCTTCCATATTCCCAGTGCTTTTGCCAACAGCTTGGATTCAGCATGTCCTGAAAATGCAGAATGGAAATCAAGTTTCCAGACACTGAGGTATGGAGGTGAGATGCTTGGAGACCTACATTGCAATCTAGATTTTTTAGGACTTCTTCCTGATTTATAATCAGCAAGGAAAATGTTGGAAACATCAGCCAGAACAGGATTTCCAGACCAATAGATTTCTGTAGGGCAGGCCACACGTTGGAGAAGCCAAGCACAACTATGTGAGAAACCTGCCTGTGATTCCTGATTACAGTCTGTTACAAATGAATGAATAAAGAATCCCCATTAAAGACTTTGCCAAAAAGCAGGTTTTAATTGAAGTTGTGAAACTGTAACTTTAACAGAGTTTGATGGTAAGGTTCACTCTTTTCCTTACTAGACAAATGAAACATACATATGGAAAACCTAGTGTTTAAACAAAACACTTTGCATTTGAAGATCTGGCACTTTCCTACAAAATTCAATTCCTCCTGAAAGCTTCTGGCTGTGCATGTTTATTAGAGGCCTAAATCACTTTAGACTCAGCATCTCAATGCAAGTCAGCAACATAGAATACCATACAAAGTACTTCTAACTAGTATGTTGGTTATGACAAACATGAAGCCTAGATATATTTTCTACAGTATTAACAGTTTCAGCATGCAAAGAGCACTGGGCTTAGTTACTTAGGAATCTATATTACAAATAAGTTGAAAAAAAACCTAAACCAACATCTAAGTTTGTAGTTACCAGATTTGGCAGTTCAGCAACTATTGGTAACTCTGGTACACGCCTCTGGGTAGTTGAAGTTAAAAGATATTTTTACATCTGAAAATACCTGGAAATACTACATTATATTTACAAGAACCAAATACTTGTAGCATTATTTCCTTGTAATCCTACAAAGCAACTTACAGTATCTTCACGTCCAATTTTTGATTTCTCAATGCTTTTTTGTAAAGCCTCTTTTTTCTGACTGCTTTCAGCAAACTGATAAAGAAAACAAAGAACAAAATCAAACTTTTTCAGTAACATATTAAACACAGCTATAAAATGTGCATACGTATTAATGTATTTAAATAAACAACTGGATATGTATTTCTAAAATACATGTATTTTTTTTAAAAATCAAAATTTTAAAATACATGTACAACTTAGGTAATAAAAATAAAGAAAAACAAATACAAAAGTGCCCAAATATAAATCTGAGGCTCTGAACTACAGAGAAGAATTACAGGAAACAACTTCAAGTCTAAAAAATTTTCATTCCCGTGGCACATAATCTTGTTATATAGTGCATATTCAGCATGGGACTAAAATCCTATTTCATACCATAATCTGGCATCTCTATGCAAAGGACCCCATAACATGGAGGCTTTGGATCTGATGATTTCCTTTGGTCTTTTTCCAGCTGTCCCTATTCAATGGAAGGAGTGACAAAAGCTGCAGTAGGTCCACCTGCTCAGCGGATACCGGTGTTCCCAAAGTCTGGCATGCCACTGGCATGGCCCCAATCCCTTTTACATGCTAATGACCAGAAGCCTCTGTTCAAAGGCATGCAAAGCTGTGGCCCCAGTTTACTGTGCGGCCCTTGCACTGCTAGACCTCACAGAGAACCCTTCCTTCAGGCCTGAGGAAGAGGAATATCACAGGGCTGGTGTGAACAATCCTTCCATTTTTCTGTTACATCAGGAGAAATAATTTGCCAAGTGACATCTCTCTCTGTTAACCTGCCACCCATCTTGAACCAGGCCTTTCCAGTTCAGCTGACAGTTTTCCAGAGATACTTTGAAAACTCTTAAGCTGAGCAGGAGTGAGACTCAACCCTCAACATCAGAAAAACACTTTGAAATATTAAATTAGATGAATGAGAATGAAAAAATAAATCTAATAAAATATAGTTGGAAAACCAGTTACTGCATTGAAACCAACACAAAAGAAAAAAAAAAAGAAACAATAGCATGTTTTTTGAGCACCATTTTAGTTTTAAAACTAAAGCACCAATCAGTATACCAGTATATCACATTAATTGTGAAAAGAACAGCTGTCAGAACTCAGCTTTTACTCTGCTCTACCCCAAGATCCCCCACGAGTCCTCCAAGTCCTCCACTTCTACATTCCCTTTTTCACTGAGATCCCACTGAGTGCAAAAGCATTCCCAGATATTTCTTGCAATCTCCAGCCTCGATAATTTAACCATATCATTAAAATAATGCAGCTGACATAAATACATTTATATAACACAACTCCTTTGGAGGTATAATCATGTCTCAATTTCAATTTAAACTAATGTTTGGTCCGTATTTTCAGAATATTAAATGTAAACGTATGATAAATATCAGGCAGAGTTTACTGCCAAGTCTTGGAGATCAGTCATAACAGTAAAAAGAAACTCCATACTGGTGGTCCATAAAGATTAGGATACAGTTCAACTGCAGCTCACTGGGTTTAGTGGTTCCTTTCACAACTCAATTTTTAAAAATGATTACACTGCGTTCATGCATGTGTGAGCATGCATACAGACAAGAAAGTCTCCTTTCTAAAATAATGCTTTAGTTTTCTTCAATTTATATAGTAATTATACTAATGGTAAGATATAATTTAACGAAAAATATGTCCAGCTGTTTACTTGGTGCCCTCAGTTCAAGAAACCACAGAGGCGGCATAAGTTTCACTATGTGGCTTGAAGTACATCTTAATTTTGGTAGATAGTCAAAGAGTACTCCTTCCAGGCTTTCCACAAAATTCTTAAAAGAGGTGTGTTAGTCCCCACATGATGCCATACTAAACAAAGGTATACAGTTCAGAAGAGGCTAAGTACTTAGATGCAGTTTGCAGTTCACCAAGTCCAAGGAAGACAAACCCCAAAACACATAATTTGGCATCTCTGAACACAGGACTTTTCTGGAACAAAACCCACAGAGGAGATAGAGAAGCCAAGGAGCTTACCTAGACCCTTATACTGCAAGTGTAAAGAAGCCAATGCTCTCTGCAAGAGCGGTCATAAAAGTGTCACTTTCTCTGTTTTTCATATTCATTAAGTTCTTAAGAAATGTTTCTGCTTTCTCTAAAATGGATGTACAGAAGGAGCTCTCAAGGCAGTGCAAATCATAGAAGCTGATTTCCAGCATGAAAGCACCCAATAAAGCATCCTATAATTTTCTTGATCCTCTATAGTCCACATCATTTACTAATTCAAGAGACACTAATGACAAACTATGAGAGATAAAGGAATTTCTTAGATTCTGTCCTACAAGGTTGCCATGCCATGTGGTTAGAATGCATTCCTTTCCCTAAAAGCAAAGATGATTTTTACATAATCTCACTTAAGATATTGCTTTCTTAACTCGCAGATTTTAATTGCTTGAGTATCTTCAGATTTTAAAATTATTCTTTAATTATTATTTCACATTAAAAAATTCTGAAATAAATTGACATCTCAGCTCTTTGTGCATTATTTTGAAGTCATGGTGGTTATCCTCTATAACAACAAATAAAGGCTGAAGATACAGAAAGGAATAGCAGAAGGAGGCAAGATGTAGAAAAAGCCCTAACACAGGACAAGGATTCAAAGGGTGAGGAACAGATGGCCAGGGTTTGTACAAAGAATCTATGACTAAGGGAGAAGTGGAAAGGCTTGGATACAGAGGGGGAAGCACAGCTGAAAATAACTATAATGAAAGAAGGAAAGACAGCAAGTATAAAGGAGTCAGAGGAAGGGGATACATATGATACAATACTTAACTGAAAGGCAATTGCAAATGGCAAATGACAGTTTATAGGGAATTAAAAAGAAAAAAAAAGCAGAATATGTAAACATTGTGTATGTATGATAGCAGACAACCACATCTGGAGAAATACAGTGACTTATTTTCCCATTCACCAGCTGTAGAAAAGCCTGACTGCAAAAAAGCACAGTAGCAAATGGAATATTTCAATCCCTGGAGAAACCTTGGGGACATTTTTCAGGGGAACCGGTAAACAATATCTCAAGGAACATCAACCATTCCCAAAAGCAGAGAGACTGGTCCAGAGATAAAGATACTGTGTTCCCTCTATGTTTCTTGAGAGAGATGTCTGGGCTGACACAGGAACAACCTTCTGCCATAAGAGTAACTGACCAGGTGTGAGGAAGAAATACAGAGATTCTACTCCAATACAAAGTTTTGTGTCTCCAATCTGACTGCACTGAATCAGCACATGATTAAGCAAGATGCAAGAAAGCAGCAAAAACATCATCTAGGAGAAAGAAAAAGGAGAGGAGACTAAATAATTCAAAATTAAGAAGTTAAAAATGCTCTCCACAAGAGAGAGAATTTTCATGTTTTCAAAACACAGTGGGAGCCTGCAAGAAGACAGTTTAATGAAGAAAGTAACTAGCATCTATAAAAGAGGAGAGTTGGGGAACAATTTCTTTAGTTTACAGACCAGTATGATCAATTAAATGGCTAGCCTTAGACATTAATTCAATCCAAAGTCCCCCAAAAGTGATGATTCTTCCTACTCTGCAAAGGCATCACAATGTTTAGCTATACATGTTGCAGCAGTTTGGGTGTGCAAAGGGCCATGTGCTGGTGATAACCACCAGTTCCATCACGGAACTTGGGGTCTGGTTTGTATCAAAGAACACAGACTAGACATTCCCACATAATTTATAATCTACTATGAACACATTAATACCAGGGCTCCACTTCAGAAAGCCACTGATGTATATTTGGAAGAGGATTGTTTAATACCAACAAACAACAGCAGCAGGTTGCAGTTCCATTCCTTCTCAAAACCTGCCTGCCGGACTTCTCTTTTATAATAAAAACCAATTTTTTTTTCTCCAGCAAAAGTTTTTGTTGGTCCTATGCCTTCTGATTCCCTGTTTTTAACCACTCTAACCACAAGTATCCCACCAAACATGTAGCTTGTCTCATCAGCATATTAAAATATCTACAAACCTAGTATAAGCCATGCAAACCCAGCCCCTGGGTATGTTCACTGGCCAAGAATCAAGCAAAGGTCTCACATGCTAACCACCAAGAGTGCTCACAGCTGTTAACTCACTATCATTATGGTCTGAAAGAGAAATACCATCCGTTTGGTTTTCTTTTGGCCAAACACTCAACCAAAAATGGTATTAAAAACTACTGCTCTTGTGAGCATCACACGCTGTGGCACTACAGAAGAATTAAAGACATCCATTTTTAAATTATTTCTAACTTGCAACGTTGGAAATTATTTCTTTATTTGCTTTGGGTTTGAAGCTCACTGTGCTTTGTTTCAGGCAAAAGGCAAGGCTAGATTGCTATCAGCTTAGACATAAGCAGTTAAAGAAGTTTGGGGTAACATTAAGCAGTAGATAGGTATATTTCTTTTCTATGTGAAAACTAACTCACTACTGAAAAACTTAAGTAGAATTGACAGAAGGCATGGAGAGAAAGTACTTCAAAGCATTCCCCTATATTTTAAAGAAAGATAGAAAATATTGACACTGAAAACAGACTAATAATATATTAGAGAGGAAAAATGCAAAGATCAACAGCCAAAAAACAATCTGAAAATACTGAAAACAGATCTTTGGGTTAAAAGAAAGGCACAGAACATTACTAAAAGAAATCACTTAATAATTACTGTTGACTAAAACTCAAAGAGGAAGAAAAAAATCCTGAAGGGCAGCACACTGAAGTGCAGAACTGCTTTCTTAAGTACTACACTAAACAAGCATACAACTACTCTTTTTACACACACAGTCACAAATCCATGCTTCCCAGAGCTCCCAAATACATGCAAGCAAACTTTGCAGCCAGCTAATCTTGGTCACAACAGCGTGGAGAGCCCTCCTGTGACCTGCAGCACTCTGGCTTCTGCTCTGATCTCGGGATGTCCCGTATCACTCCTGAAATGTCATTTCTCCAAATAACCCACCCAGTGAACTGAACTACAGTTGGAGCAGCCATCAGGTCCACTGGAACCTCAGTCGGGGATGTGACAAACTCTTAGTG